GTCAATAAAACAAGGTCGTCTGCAAACAGCAGCCGTCTCGTCTTCACGTCTCCTACACCGATACACTCATCGCCTTGGCTGCTCCTGACTATTTTATTTACGTACATCACAAACAGGAGAGGGGACAGGACACAGCCTTGACGGATACCAATGCCAACGGTAAAAGGCTTCGACTTAACGCTGTTTATTCTGACGTAGCACAGTGAACGGATCGCCCGTAATACCTGGCCATCTATACCGTATACTTGCAGGCATGACAACAGACTGTTGCGTGGGATCCGGTCATAGGCTTTTCCTAGGTCAAAAATGGACATGTACACCGGACGGGCATACTCCCACGATTTTTCAACAATCAGGCGTAGGGTAGATATATGGTCAGAGGTGCTTCGACCGGGCCGTAAGCCACACTGCTCTTTTAGTATCTTGGAATCAGTTATTCCGCGGCACTTCCTTTCTGGCACGTCTGCATAATTGGAGCACTCCCTGTGGTTTCTTTTCTTGAATAACGGCACAACAACTCCCTTTCTCCAGTCCGCTGGTATCTTCTCCGTAGTCATCGCATTTCACAGACACGTGTAAGCAGCAAATGCCTTATCCGCCTAATTCCTTGAGCATTTCAGGGCGGATTTCATCAATTCCAGCAGCCTTTCCAGTTTTCAAGCTTTTCACAGCTTGTGCAATTTCTTCCACAAAGATAGTAATATCCGTTTGCTGCTGCTCTACATGCGAGTCTTCCTGCGGTTGCTAGTGGTTGAGGAGTTCATCAGCGTACTCTCTCCACTGCCGAAGAATGTCATCATCCTTGGTAAGAGGCTGTCCAGACCTGTCCTCCAAGACTCTTAGACTGCGCCTTTTTGCACCTCGGAGCTCGCTGAAAGATGCTAGAATCTCTTGTTTGCAGTTTCAGAATTCGACTGGAACACCTCACCGAACTTCTCCCAGGAATCAGCTTTGGATTTTGCCACTGCTTTCGCTACTGCCTTGCGTGCCTTGACATCGCACGAGAGTAGAAGGCTCTATGTTTCTGAGCCATTTCTTAAACGCTGCCTTCTTCTCTTTAACTGCCAGTTGTACCTCTCGTGTCCACCATAAAGACCTTTTCTGACCTCCAGGCGGCAGGCCAACCCGTTTATATCCGCAGCATTCGGCGGCAGCCTCGAGCTTGGCGCTCTTAAAGAACTGCCACTCGGATTCCACATCAGTGGTTATCGCCGGGATCTGTTCAAACAGTCGTGCGATGTTGTTTGCAAATTTCGATCTCGTGTCCACCGAAGATAATGTTTCCAGTTTGATTCTCTGGTTGCTTCTGCCACCAGGTCTTCGTTTCTTACCCCGTAGCGTGCCAATAATAAGGTGATGATCGGTTGAGAGCTCTGCGCCTCTCTTAACAAGAACATCCATTGCTGAGCGTGTTAAGTCAGACGATATGATTATCAAATCGATCATCGACATCTGTGCGCAAGCTTCCCTGTACTAGGTGTATCGATGCACTGTTCGATGCTCGATGAAGGTGTTCATAATGGACAATTCGTTGTTTGCACAAAACCGCGAGAACTTCATGTCGTTATTGTTGACGTCTCTCTGGCCGGTTTTTCCAATCACGCCGTTCCACTTTTCAGCCTCTACTGCTAAATGCGCGTTAAAATCGCCAATGAATATGAGGTACTCTGTAATCGGTACTTCAGACAGAGCACACTGCACTTCCGCAAGGAAGGTCTCATATTCTCCCTCCAAATTGGGCGCTTAGACCTGTGAAAAGGTCAGCGCTTTAGTCTGTTTTAGCTTCTGTGGGAGGATTACCACCCTTCTGCTGACAGACTTCCTATCATTGATTTTATCTGCGAGGTTAGGTTCTACCAGAATACCAACACCGGACTGAGTCGCGATATGGAAGCCTGAATAGAATAGCTTCCACTCGCTGAGGCCCAGGAGTCCAGACCCTGGCGTTTCGTTGACAAGAGTCCAACAATGTCGAGGTGATACTTTATGGCCTCTTCAACTAATTTTTGTTCTCTTCCTCTGAGGGAGGATATGTCCCAGTTTCAGACTTGAAGGTCCAGCTGGTGGTGTCGTTCTCGTGACGCTTTTCTGACGTGCTGTAATGGCATCGTGCTGTCTTCCTCCTCCGTTTAGACCGGGTAGCGACTCCATTCCTGACTGGTGTATTCGTCGTGGTTCTGTCGATCTTCGTCAGACGTTGTTGTGCTACTACGCTCCCTGCAGGTGGAGGGCGATAAGCAGGTTTTGATCGCCGACTTTTCACAGTCTGTCTCAGTCCTTTAACAGCTTGCGCGACCCAGCGTACCCCGGTCGACGAAGGAGCG